TTAATTTTTTTTTTTCTGAAGGAAAATAACAGTTGGCGATTAAACCTAGAAAAATACTGGATAAACAAACATAATTTAAAAAATCAAAATTCAATCAGTATCAGGCGGGGAGAGGGAGTGTAGGTTCCAACTTTCCGACGAGGAGTGGCAACCGTGCGATCAATGAAGATTTCCATACTAACAGCAAAGTTTTCATATCGAAAAAGTGGGGAGGGGTGGGGGCTACTTGTCTCTTTAGTTTTTAACACAAATACATGAAACAACACGAGTAATCGGAATTACAATGCCTTAATTTTCAGAAAACTCTTTCTAAAGGTCATGACACTGATGTTGTTTAGATTAATCTATAAATATCTGACGTTGCTTTATCTGCCCTTGTTTTGAAAGAGCAGTGGCACATTAACTGTGACTTAAACTTGTTAATATTTTGTCGGAGAACTGGAATATTCCGACAATAAATGATAGGATTTGAGAGAGAGTGCGCTACAACTACTATACTGATAATTGGACTATCTCCGATAAAGCTCGATAAAACTAAAGGAACTCTGAAAATGATTAATGTTACTAAAAGCACGCTTATTAGTCGGAGAGATGAAAACAGTTTCTTTCTGCGAATAATTGCAAGATTATTAATAAAGTTGTCAAAAGGTTGCTTCGAGTTCTTCGTTAACTTTGTTCTTTTGAAGACAGAATGAATAGTAAGAAAATAGAAGAAAAATATTGCCAACAAAAGAACAAAATTAATAACACCTGCAACTGAAGTTGGGCTTGAAATACAAACGGATGATGAAGAGGTAGACACAACAACAACATATACAATAGTGATGAATACCCAAGCAAAAATGAAATAACAGTAATCCAGTTGATTGGAGAATAATTAACGTTGGAGCCAATGAATTCCAAGTAACAACTATGTATCTTTGAAAACTTATAAGTAACATTTGAATGAGAGACACATTGATACTAACGGCAATGCCATATCTTGCTGCACATAAAATAAATATTGAATCGGCGTTGGAAAGAATATATCGAAAACTTCTAATGACCACCATAACACCAACTGAAACATCACAAAAAGAGAGGAGCATGACAAGAGTGTGGTAAATGTTTTGGTGCAGTGACTTGTTTTTACACAAGGTGACAATCACTGTCATGTTAATAAGGATAATGAGGATACCCATCAATTGGGTCAATAAACCTCCGAAAAAGCCCGTTTCCATTTCTAATTCTACGATGTCACCAGAAGTTCCATTAAGATATCCAGAAACATTTGGTGTCTTCGATACATCCCCGTGATGCAGTATTTCCGCAGATTGGATTTATCTGTTATCCATTGTAATCTACCAGTAGAAGATAATATTGGTATTAACCACATTAAAAAAAAAAGTGAAAGCCAAATGCCTCTAACAAATTAAGTGATGAAACAATGTAACGATTAACTGTCATTATTATAGACAACATATCTGAAATATTTTTCATTACTTCTAAATTATGAAAGCATATTGCTCTTTTCCGATAAGTCTTTTTTTTTCAAATTAAAATTAGAAAAAAAAATGTTACAACTTCAACTATTCTAGACTACATTAAAATAAGTTCAAACCACTAGAGCTATACAATCTCTTCAGTCTTCTGTTTAGCAAAGTATTTCTGATTTGTTTATTTTGTTATCCATTGATTCTACAGTAGCATCCGTTTCTCCCTTTTACAAATATATAATTATCTTATTTGATATTTAACTATACCTCATAACACTTGCAGAAAACACGATAGAGTACGAAGAAAATTATATAAACCTCACTTATTGGTGAATATAAATATTCCAATAAATTGCAAATAAAACCATGCAGTAAGTTATCCATTTTAGCGCCTTATATACTTTTGTCCTTTGCTTGACCAAATAATGCTTTCGGACTAGTGGGTCCCCCTGTTTAGAGAACCTCCGTACTAGTGTTTATGCAGTATTTTTTTTTTACTCTGAGCTAATTTGAACCTTAAGGTTAATCCATTAAAACAAGGTAATACAGTGTTCTGAATACCTTAGCTTAGGAGAAGGAAGCCTGTGTTAATTCTTGCGTGGTTCGCAAATTATCACGGGGCTCCCAAATTGATTTTTGACTCATACACGACAAAAACTAGTCATTTATTCCTGTATTAATCACATTAAAAAAACTTACTTTAAATCAATGCCCCCGCAGTTGTAATAAAAATCATGGATATAAAGTCTGAATCTATGGTTTTGACCGCAGTGAAAACTTAATGTTCTGGCAAATCTTTTATATGCAGTTCCACTCAAGTAAACTACTGTATATATTAAACAGAATCGATAATCAGGTGGGTGGCTTCAAGATTGGAGGGGCTGTGACGATACATATTGTAAGTCTGTACATATTGTCGTCGGCAACAATATGTACCTACCCTCACTGCACGTATTGTTGTCCATCGGTGCATATTGTCACCGGTGACAATATGTGCCGAGACGAGTCTTTTTTTCCCTCCTGTCGTCGGCAACAATATGTATTGTGAACAATTGCACATTTTGTCGCCCAATATATTATTGTGACCGAATATTGACTAAGGTCATGAAATGAGAGATTGACACACACACACGGGGAGAGAGAGAGAGAGAGACAGACAGAAGGAGACAAAATCCATGGCAGATAGATAAGAAAACAAATTGTATATATTTATTTAGCACTTTTTTCTCGCTATATATACCTGGAGATTGAATGTTAGATTTGTGTTAAGTAGTAATGATTATCTTTTTTATCTTATTTTTGCTTTATTTTTTTTACATGTGTCGATATAATTGGGGTTGGGGGTTGTCATTTTTAGCTCATTGAGCTGAAAGCTCAAGTGAGCTTATCTGATCATATTTTGTCTGTCATCCGTCTGTAAACTTTTCACATTTTCAGCTTCTTCTCAAGAACTTTACTCGGCCAGTTTCAACGAAACGTACAACAAAGCATTCGTGAATAAAACGGGATTCAAACTCAAGGGGGGATAATTGAGAATTAGTGCACATTTAGTGACATTTTAAAAAAAATCTTTTTCTCAAGAATTACTGTGCAGGAAAAGTTAAAACTTATGTGAAAGCTTCATTATATAAAGTGTAGATTCAATTTCGTTCAAATCATGACCCCAAAGGGAAGGGTAGGGCTTCAATAGATGATCAAAATTTTACACAGGAAAAAATCTTTCAAAATCTACTTCTCAAGAACTACTGGGCCAGAAGAGTTGATACTTATGTGAAAGCTTCATTAATAATATTCATTCAAATTTGTTCAGATCATGAGCCCCAAAGGGTAGGGTGGATTACAATGGGTGATCAAAGTTTTACATAGGTATACATACAGAAAATCTTTAAAAAAAAAAAAATTTCTTCTCAAGAAAAGCAAGCCCAGGATAAGTCATATTTATAATGAAGCATCAAGCATCCTCAGGTAGTGTAGATTTAAGTTTGTTCAAATCATGACCACTGGGGCTAGGGGGTGGGGGTGACGGTACATATTGTCGTTCTGTACATATTGTCGTCAGCGATAATATGTACCTACTCTCATTACATATATCGTCGTCCATCGGTACATATTGTCGCCGGCGACAATGTGTCGAGACGAGCCTTTTTTTCTTCCTGCATTATGGACGACAAAATGTAAAATTATGCATCGGCGCCTATTGTAGTCGGCGACAATATGTACTGTGAACATTTGCACATTTTATCGCCGATATATTGTTTTGACGAATATTTACTAGGGTCATGAAGAGAAAGATAGAGACAAACAGAAGAATAGACAAAATAGATGAGTAAACATCTTGTTTTCATTTATTTTAACTTGCAATACTGTAAGGAGAAAAGGTTTTGGACTGAAAATTGAATCCAGGACGACAATATGTACTGTTACAATCTAGCTGCATGAAATAGCATACGAATCACGTCAGTGTGATTTACACACCAATTACATTCACAAACCTACAAAAAAAATATTAAGCAACAATATCTGTTGGGCGACAATGTGTGCAGTGAGGGTAGGCACATAATGTCGCCAGCGACAATATGTACATGGGTAACTTTTCAGCCGGGGAAAATACGTACCGATGGACGACAATATGTGCAGTGAAGGTGGGTACATATTACATAAAACATACTTAAGTCTGAAACAATTTTCAAAACGTTTTGGCGACAAAATGTACAGATGATCACAGTACGTATTGTCGCCGATAACAGTATGTGCTGATGTGTGACTGTACATTTTGTCGTCCATTCTGCAGGAGGAAAAAAAGGCTCTGACGGTACATATTGTAGCTCTGTACATATTGTTGCCGATGACAATATGTACAGATAGACGACAATATGTGCAGTGAGGGTGGGTACATATTATCGCCGGCGACAGTATGTACCGTCATAAACCCTGTGGGGCGTCAATATGTGCATTCAAGGTAGGCACATGTCGTCAGTGACAATATATACAATTTTTCAGCCGGTGACAACACGTGTCGATGGATGCCAATATGTGCAGTGAAAATATATGCATATTATCGCCGACGACAGTATGTACTTAACGACAGTATGTACCGTCGCAACCGTTTCATAGCTATTCCATCAATGCACTGTACGGATCAATATTACAACATTTCAAGTGGTACTTTCATCAATTTAAAGAAGGTTTAAGCACATAGAATAAATGTCTTTGCTCAATAAATGCTGTGTTACATGGAATATGATGGCTGCAATGATTTTAGAAAAAATTACATACAGGTAATCAGCTTACAGAGTGATTTTTTTTTCCTGCTATGTTGCAACCATTATGAGAAAGTATTTAATGTTTA